GAGATACATGTTGGTCTTTTCACCTAAACTGCCTCTGTTTTGATCACTGGCATTCCAGCACATCTAGATTCTTGAATCCACACACTCAGTATGGATCTCTCTGTCTCCTCTGTCTGTAATGCTAGGGTTTGATTGGATTCCTAATAAGTCCATAAAATCAGTCATTTCCCTACTGTCATTAATTTCCACTATTCTCATTAATTCCCAACCTTGCTGGCCTGGTGGCAGTTTGAATGTACAGATTGAACACAGTGAGTAGTTTTCCATGAATGCAGTGCACTCTAATAGTAAGTTTTTTTTTTAACCAAATTGCAACTGAGCTTCTGAATGTCTTCCTTCACTGTTAGTGTGGGAAGTGGTACTCTTGTGTCTGCTTATTAGCCACACTAGACACACACATGGTGACTTCTAGACCGAGATAAGAGGCCAAACATTCCAATTTTTTTTTTTTTTTTGACTGAGAAATAAAATTTAATGGATTTCTTGTGCTCTGCTAATTGAAAACATGTGTAGTGTTATAAGTATTTGATGATTATTACACAAACAGCTCATCCTTTTAACCACAACATCATGGCACTGTTGTAAAAACAGTTTGGGGGGGGGGGCAGAATTTTTATCATTTATCATTCAAGTTTTTCCACTGTAGCCTAACCCAGCCCAACTTAGCTTAGAAATAAGCTAGAAGCCTTGTATGAAAGTATGACATAGTTAATAGGAGGATGGGTTGTGCACAAGCTAAGATGTAGAAAAAGACGTATACAGTTCAGGACATTTATTATTATTATAATAAAAAAGAAGCGCTAAGCCACAAGGGCTATACAGCGCTGTCAGGACATTTATTAAAGGAAATGTTTCACCACAAGTGGCTTCTTCAGCTAAATTGTTCCAAAGAAATGCTTATTGTCCTGTGACCTAACAATGACTCAGGTCATAACTCTTGATCTTTAGGTCAAACTGAGCTAAGAATTCTAGACATGAGCTTAGAGCATAAGATATCCTGGAATACCAAATACTGTACTATATAATATTACATTGGGTCCTTCATATTTCTCCCATTTACCTCTTGGATGCACCATTGACTTTCTTAAGTGTTACAGTATCATTAATACACAGCTAATGAGGCTGCTGTATTTAATTTTTTACTCTTTTTACAGAACCAACATCCATTTGTAGATGATTCCTTTCCTCCTGTGCCGAAGTCTCTATTCTACAGCTCCTCTGAGAAGAATGAGTCCCGTGTAACACAGTGGCTACGTCCTCATGAAATTGTCACCGATTCAGATAACCGAAACATTAAGTGGGCAGTCTTCAGAACTCCTCTTCCATCTGATATTTCACAAGGTATTTTTTTAATGATGAGTTTTTTAACAGTGGCTGTCTCTCACCAAGGTAGGCAGGTGAATCCCCCATAAAAATGTATGATAAAACTAATCGATATTTAAGTGCAGTAGGTAAACACACTCTTTGTTTCAGACATCACATTCATATATTGAGTTTTTCTAATGTGTTATTAAAAAACAAAAAGGAATTTTGTCTTAGGATGGTCTGCTCTGTTACAAAACTAAGGCAAAATTTTTAATCTGGTAGTAATACAATGTATGCATTTCTTCCACACATTGTTTGTACCATTTTTCTTTATCAAAATTCAACATAAGTCATTAATATATTCTCTGAGGTGGCCCAGTAAATTAAAAGTGGGAAATGTCTTTCTCCAGAATGATGTCCGTGTTGCATGTTGAAATGTAAGTACAGCATTTGGACTATCATATGCACATTCCATGTTTCTTTTTTTTTTTTTAACAAGTCGGCCGTCTCCTACCGAGGCAGGGTGACCCAAAAAAAGAAAGAAAATCCCCAAAACGAAAATACTTTCATCATTCAACACTTTCACCTCACTCACACATAATCACTGTTTTTGCAGAGGTGCTCAAAATACAACAGTTTAGAAGCATATACGTATAAAGATACACAACATATCCCTCCAAACTGCTAATATTCCGAACCCCTCCTTTAGAGTGCAGGCATTGTACTTCCCATTTCCAGGACTCAAGTCCAGCTATATAAAAATAACCGGTTTCCCTGAATCCCTTCGCTAAATATTACCCTGCTCACACTCCAACAGATCATCAGGCCCCAAATACCATTCGTCTCCATTCACTCCTATCGAACACACTCATGCACCCCTGCTGGAAGTCCAAGCCCCTCACCCACAAAACCTCCCTTACCCCTTCCTTCCAACCTTTTCGAGGATGACCCCTACCCTGCCTTCCTACCCCTACAGATTTATACGCTCTCCATGTCATTCTACTTTGATCCAATCTCTCTAAATGACCAAACCACCTCAACAACCCCTCTTCAGCCCTCTGACTAATACTTTTATTAACTCCACACCTTCTTCTAATTTCCACACTCCGAATTTTCTGCATAATATTTACACCACACATTGCCCTTAGACAGGACATCTCCACTGCCTTCAACTGCCTCCTTGCT